GAAAAATAAAACAACATTTAAAATATGAATTAACCCAAAGTATCCAAAATCAAGTACGAACGATTTTTCTGAGTGTATTAAAGTAAGTCCTACAAAGTTACGAGCTAGAGAGCCGTGTACAAAACCAAGTGATAATACTTTCTAACTGCCTCTGGTCAGTATTAGGCGAAATCTTTTCAATCCATAGAGTCGAGAGGAAAAGGTTTATCTCTGCCTTCCCCGTTTTTCTATTACCTTACAGAATTTAAATCATTGAAGTCCTCGTTTATATTCAGTGTTAGGTTTTAGGTCTTCTGTTTTGGCTCCTGTTGCTGTTTGCTGTTTGCCCCTCTTCTCAAGTTAAGTTCTATCACCTTTTATTTATTTTTAATTTCGACGGCGTATCAAACTGCTCCGACTGTTATGTGAGATTTTATCAAGGAAGCTTTCTTGAGGTGATTTTGATTAAGTGCGATTTGTACTTTGTGTAGCCTACGTGTTTTGATTTTTTAAATAATATGTACCTCCTCTGCTTCCCAAGACATATTGTTGTCTTTGGTATTTGATTGCACAGGACGAAACGGTAGCAAAAGGACTGTAGTAACGGATACTCGCTTACATAGTATTTGCTCTTTATACATGGATTCTGTGTGTTTACTTAGTCCAAAGACGGGAAACGGATTTATTATGGGGAATCATATATTATCAGTGGAGGAGCCCCTGACATTTTGGATGTTTGTCAATGTTTTTAAGTCAACAAAGCTTACAAGATATATTTTTATAAAAATATTACTATTCAACAGATTCGTATATCTTAGTATTTGACTTAAAACTTCTTTATCCTCTCACCCTAACTATTGTTACGTGAATTTTAAACTATTGAGCCTTTAATTTTTACCAAAAAGATCGTTTATTAAATTAATAGCATCGAAAGTATTAAAATATACTCTTAAGTAAAAATTACATACCATTTTGTACTTCCAGTAAAAATTTACGAAATGTTTCTTTGTTTTGTTACTATAATATAATTATATTTAATATATAAGATAAGAAAATAAAAGTTAATTAATTTATATTCTTTAAAAAGCTGAAATAAAATAACAAAATAAGACTGAAATTATGAAAGAAATCATAAATGCTGAAGAGATATAAAAAATAAAAAGCTCAAATTAATAAATTAATTATAAAATGTTTTTATTAAAAACTGAACAAAAAATATTTGTTCATTTGCTAAGAGTTAAATAGTCTCTGCTAACATTAAAGTACAAAACTATTTCAAAATAATGACAATTTAACTGTATAACTAAGATTTTTATACCCTTGCAGAGGGTATTATAATTTCAGTCAGAAGTTTGCAACGCAGTGAAGGAGACGTTTTCGACCCTATAAAGTATATATATTCCTGATCAGCATCACTAGTAGAGTCGATCTAGCCATGTCCGTCTGTCCGTCCGTCTGTCCGTCTGTCCGTCCGTTTATATGCAAACTAGTCTCTCAGTTTTAAAGCTATCTGCATGAAACTTTCCCAAAAGTTGTCTTTCTATTGCAGGTAGTATATAAGTCGGAACGAGCCGGATCGGACGACTATAGCATATAGCTCCCATAGGAACAATCGGAAAAATAAATGAAAAAAAATTATAACTTTGCTGTTTCTTAATTTTTTGTTTAGTTCTTCGAGATATAGTAATGGTTAAATATTTCAGAATTATGTTTTAAATTTCATCAAAATCGGACGACTATAGCATATAGCCCCCATAGGAACAATCGGAAAAATAAATGAAAAAAAATTATAACTTTTCTGTTTTTTAATTTTTTGTTTAGTTCTTCGACATATAGCAATGTTTTATTTTTTCAGAATTATGGTTTAAATTTTATCAAAATCGGACGTCTATAGCATATAGCTCCCATAGAAATATTAAAAAAATATAAAATAACTATCTAATAATTGAGCTGCAAATCATCATAGTTTCAATGTTTTTCAGCATATACTCAAGTAAATCATAATTTAAATGTTTTCAAAAGTATTTGATTCATGCAATAGCTGCAAGGGTATATGAACTTCGGCTTGCCGAAGTTTGCTTTCTTTCTTGTTTAAATATACATTTGTGGTCTTAGGGTGTGTATAAATTTGGCACGAAATATTAGGATAAGATTTTTCAAAACATATAAACGGATAAACAAAGTTATAGTTAGTACATAAAACTCGAAAAAGGTTAGTGAAGTGCATAACTAGACCTGCATATTGGCAGACGAAGCGGGCAAAATGCACGAGGTATATCTTGCCAAGAAGAAAAGGAGAGTACACTATACCGTTAAGTAGTTTCTGCATAAAGATTACACTACTGCAAATTCTTCGGTTCTTCAAAGTGTGTACGTCAATTAGGTTTAATCTTGATAAGTAGGGCGGTAATTGACTATGCGGATCCCAGTTAAGATGTCGCAGTGAATATATTAAAAATTGTTTTTGAAATAATTCTACAAAATTTTGTTGGTGATTATATTGAGGTCTCATAATAAGCATTTTGAATGATTAAGTAATAACAGGTTGTATGAGAAATCAGACAATGACAAACAAATTTGAACATCATCAGCGAACATAAAAGTTGTGCAAAGAAGAGAACCTGGGGAGGTCATTAATAAACAAAACAAATAATAATGGTCCTAGGTGACTGCCTTGCGGGACTCCAGAAGTAACTTTCACCGTATTGGACAATTTGTTTTTAAATAAAATTCTTTGGGATCTAATCGAATGATAAGACGAAATTAATTCCCATAAGTAAGGAGGAAAACTAAGTATGGAAAGTTTCTGAAGAAGTAGTGTGTGATTTACTGAGTCAAACCAAACGCCTTACTGAAGTCAGTGAATATAACATCATATCGGTGATTTAGAAGAAAACTACTATGAATTTTAGATCAGTAGAAGCAGACCGATTATTTACAAAGCCATGCTGTGATGGCAAAATTAAACAGCTACACATATATTGGAGCTGACAAATAACTAATCTTTAGGAGCTTGGGGACAGCTGGTTGCTTGGCTATACTACGATAATTTTCAATGTTCGACCTTGATCCCTTTTTATGAAGGGGTATTAAAAAAGATTTCTTCTCACAAATTGAAAAGTTAGATAATTGCAAAGAAAGATTGAAAAGAAATGTGATTGGGATACAGAGTGCTTCTGCGCAGCGCTTAAGTATGCAGCTTGGGATTTTATCGGGGCCTGCAAAACATCACAAACTTCAAAAGGGGGTATATTAATATTGTTAGCGTGGGATAAGTGATAATGATATGGTGTAGACAATTTGTAGAAAATTTATAATTTAACAAAGTAAAAAGATGAAATTATTAAAAACAGATTACATATTATATTATACTTATACTTAATTTATAGCCTGATTCCATTGCCCCATTAGTGCACTTTTTAGATGTGCCTGATTCCTTCCATTGGCGCATTAACATTAAGTCAATGCTACTCCAACATGTGAGTGGCACGAACAGCTGATCTTGGTTTGTTTACTTTACAAATCTAAACGAAATTAATTAAAAATCATATATATGAGCGAGTTTATCGATTTCCTTAATGCCCAACAGACAATCCATGATGCGAACGTGGCAGGAAGGGGAGCTGATGGTGTTGTTCGACGGGTTTGCAAAGGAGACCACCACAGTTTCCAAAAAGGGCAAGGATCCCCGTATATGTGGGAGTATTTTTCTGCCAGAGATCTGGCAGTAATGCATTGTGGGCATTTGTACGCAAAACAGATTTTATATTCGAAAGAAATCAAAAATTAAGCTATCCTGACATATAGGAAACAGTTGTCAAATCAGTATTTTTTGGAATTTTTTCTAAAAATGTTCGGATCGAATGATTTTTAATCGCATTTATTTATCGCATTTATTTTAAATGCGGCATTTAGCCTTATGAGATTCCCAGTGTAAATAAATGCGCATTAGGCAAAATGCACTTAAATGCGCCAATGGAGTCTGTCTATTAATTAAGTTAAGATTAAACTACAGAGTATAGGCTTTATAATATTTATTTTTGAATTAATACTTCATGATATAGGTTTTCTACTATTTAGTAAAAGTTTATAACTTTTGTATACTAGACACCCAGAGAAAAGTAAATACAAATAATTTCACTTTGAATTAAAAATTTTCGGTACGGATTTAGGGGTGGTGTGTTTAAATCAAAGTGCGTTACACCTTCCTTTTTTTTAGTATGAAATAATTAAATTTTAAATTTAAAAAAGTTTAAATCTATAATTTTCTTTGGTCAAATTAATTAAATATGTTACTAATATTATTATCATGTTCTTAGTTGATTTTAAGTAGGTTTATATTTTGAAAAACAATGTTACATTCAAATATTTTTATATTTAATTTTATTCACGGGTTTTTCTCTGGATGTAATAGTCTGAATTCAAACTACAATTTTTGACTCTTCGGTTAAGAAATTAAGCTACTAAGTTCAGGCCATATATTATTTAGTATTGGACTAATACTTATAATTTAACACTACCTGTAGTTTATTTTAAAGACGAATGTACCTATGTATTTTGACATTACTAAGTTTATTTCCATGCCTTTAATGAAAAGAGTTCACTCCCCCCACATTTTTTTAAACTCCCCAAAAGTTCAATGAACACCAATCAGTGAATCCAATGAAGAGGTTAATGTACCCTCGCAAATAATCCGATCTGGTCAACTTACGACTATAAACCGAGTACGTAAGCTCCCAAAGCGACTAGAAATCTGGGATTAATCTCTAAAAGACTATTTAATTATAAATGGGTCATGAATACGACAGAGTGTGAAAGGGCCCGCAGACTAAGACTGAGTCAAATTTTTTACGAGTGTGATAAACGGACGCCAACAGAGCGTTGGGCCTAAAATTGATTTACGAGCCGATACGTATAAATTGCAAGAATCCCCAGTTACCTAGATCAACTGTGAATATAGCACCTGTATAAAAGCCAGTAGACGTACAGTGGTTGAACACAGTCATCTACAGAAGCTTATGATTGACATACCATGAGGACCCTTAGCGTCTTGATATCTCTTGCAACTCTGTTTGCCTTGTGTGCTGCCCAGCAAACCGTTAACGGCAATCACGGACGGGAGAATGGTAAGCCAACTTACTTTTAGACAAAAGGATTCTAGTCCAGCCTTCTGTTGCTTACAGCCTTCTCGAAGATCGTTCCCCGTTTGCTGTGGAACATCAAGCGCGGAGAGCACCAGGAGAGCCATCGAAACACCCAGCAGCCCATCATAATAGTGCAGCAGCCCAGCCCGAGCTCGGACCACGAGTTGGACAGACACCACCACCACCACAACCCGCACTACCCCTACTACCCGTACTACCAGCCACCCCCACCGCCGCCCAGCCGTCCACCCCCGCAGTTTCCCGGAATGGAATACCTGAACAGTGCCGGTGGCGGACCCACCTACTTGATCATCAACCCCAACAACATGCAGGGCATCTACCTGCCGGCCAGCAGTTCCAACAGCTCCAACTCCACCAGTTCCCGCCGCAGCGCTTTCGTGCCCTCCATCGCCGATTTGCTGCAGGGCCTCAGTCTGGACGACCTTGCCGATGGCAGCCTGTTCGAGAACGACTCCGAAGTGGTGGACGCGGCAGAGGACGGAATCGGGGCTCCCAGCTCTGAGGATTCCACCCAGGCTGTCCAGGCTGCCCAGGCTGTCCAGGCTGTCCAGGCTGCCCAGACTGACGACGATCGCGAGGAGGATGAGATCAGCGAGGACGTGGTCGAGGCCGTCGAGCGGCAGACCAACCGTGGTCTAAGTCCCAAGCAGCTGGTCTCGATCATAATGCAGGACAAGCGGCGTCGCCGCATCCAGGAGGTTCTGGCCGGCATCTATCTGAGGAACTACAGCCTGAACAGAAAGTAATCAAACGAACACAAGCAGATACAAATTGAAATAGTGCGAGGCTAAATAAACAGTGGGCGACTTGCCCAAACACCCCATAAAGTTTGCACATCTCTGCAGCTCCATATTTCGTCTTCATTATGGGGCGCACTTTATCATAGGTCCCAGGAGAAATCTAAGCTAAGTTGCCGTTCCCCAGTAGCTCCTCTGGAACTCCCGTCCCGTCTCAGCAGTTTCGGCTACCTGTTTGCCTCAGTTGCTACCATTCCGCATTGTTACGACTTTCCGAGTTTGCCGTAGCACTAAAATAATCTGCAACTGCAGTTGAAATATTTATTTGCAATTCCCCAACCTAACGTAAGCTTGGATCTGCTAAAAATGAGAGGGAAGCTGCCGGCTCGAACGACAGATGGCACAGGTGATGGGCGGACTTCAGGGGACTGGGGGGAGGGGCTGATGCTGGGCGGCAGACAGTAAAAGTTGGGCGTGATGAGCAGCTGCAGTTATTGTTGGGCCGAGAAACTTTTCATTGGGAAAAGTCGGGGCTAGACAACTTGAAATAATTTGCGGGGAATTGCACTAAAATTATTTTAGTCTCTGGGAAGAGTTTAAGTTGGAATACACACTAGTCGGCATTAAAATAATATTACAACAAGAAACACATATGTTGTTTCATAGAAACATAAGAAGATATATATTAATTAGTAGTTTCTTGTGTTGGCATAAGTATTTTGACAAAAATTTATGACTAAGACAAAATTGTTTAAGCCCACCAAAAGAAATAAAGTTAAGATTAATAGCCTGATTCCATTGGCGCATTAGTGGACTTTTTAAATGTGCCTGATTTGATTGGCTTTAAACTAACGCTTCTCCGAAATGTGATTGGCACGAACAGCTGATCTGGGTTTGCTTACCTTTCGATTGTCGCAAGTCACAACGAAATAAATTAAAAATCAGGAATATGAGCAAGCTTACGGATATCTTTAGTGCTCGGCAGGTCATCCATAATGCTATCGAGGCATTTGCGAACTTGGGCGAATAGAAAGGGAAGCTGATTTTGCAAAAGAGAGCACCACAGTTTCTAAAAAAGAGCAAGGATCCCCGTATATGTGGGAGCTATTTCCTGCCAGAGATGCAGCAGTAATGCATTGTGGCCTGCGAGCAGGATTTGCTGCGCTTATTATTGTTTTCAGTAATTTATACGCAAAATAGATTTTATATTCAAAAGAAATCAAATATTGCGCCATCCTTCCAAAAAACCTAGCTGCTATAGAGGTGGCACTAACGATATCAGTATTTTCCGGTATTTTTTCCAAAAATGTTCGGGGCGAATGATTTTAAAACGCATTTACTTATCGCATTTATTTTATTGCGCCAATGGAATCGGCCTATAAACATGACCTTAAACGAAGTTTAATGCAAACAATTCCGTTTTAGGTAATGTGTTCCATAATTTTGTATGAAAGGCTAAAATTTAAGGCAATTGTTCTAATGTTAAGGCAATTTTTTTCTAAAATCAATGAATTTAGTGTTCTGAGTGTACCTTCGAGGTACACTTTAGCTTTGATTTTATATTTAACTTCAAATTTTTTGTACTTTTTCTTTTCAAATGTTTTCCCTTTTTAATTTTTTACTGTCAGATTGCATTAAAAATGGTTTCTTGTGTATGTTTTATGTTTAATACTTTATAATGTTTGCATGTAAAACAAAATGATTAATGTTAAAGTTATTGTCCGCAAAGTGACTGGTGCCATAACTAAAAGGCTTGACCTAGCCTGGGGGATAAAACGAAAATAAATTAAATTAAGTTGAGTTAAATTTAAAAAAAAAATTCAAGCAAGAAACTATGTTGACCGTCAGCCTTTTCTACGACTCTTTAAATTTAAATCACAAGCATTTCAGTTGCGAATGCAGGAGCTATGCATAAACCTGAGCACAGGAATTCCTTTGCCCCAACCTCCTCAGGTGGCTTTTTTTCATTGTTGCCCTGGCCGGTGCCGTGAAATAAGGTAGAAGATAGAAGGCGGCCAAGGCATAGAAAAAAGATGCCAGCTGTTGTAGCTGCTGGAGCTGCTGGAGCTCCAGCCACCCCGCCCTCTCGCAAATTCCGACGGAGTCTGGCAACATGGCTCCCACATTTTGCTGCTGGCATTTTTTCCGGCTGCCTGTGTCTGGAAGTTGGCCGTTTGTTGCATGTCCTGCGGCAGGCGAACTGGTTTGAAATTTGACGTGTGTAGTTTGCTGACCAGAAGCGATGGGAGGACTACGAGTTGCAACCCGAGTAGGGCCGGCATAAGGCCCTTCACTTACTCCAGAAAATTTATATCCAAGCTGCCGTTGCCTCCGGAGCAGCTCGAAACATGTTCGTTTCAATGTTTCCCTAGGTACCGGTAGTGTACTAGATTTTTTGCTTTCTGAAGAAAGCATTTTGCTCACCATCAGATCCGATCTATGCAAAAATCGTTGTCTCTATAAATTGGGTTGAAAACTTTAAGACAGTCGGTGTATTTTGTTATAGCCTTTTCTTGTTCATAAACAAGATTATAAAATCATAACACGCAACACATGTACATTGTTCTTAATAAAATACATTGGCTCATTTAAGGGTCAGAATACTGGTCTTAGTAAATTTGAAAGAAAAACTGCCAGACATAACTGTCAAAGTGAGTACCAAATATCTTTTTGTCAAAAAACTCCTCTGGTGCTGCGACTCTGCTGTCACTAGTGCTTTTGCTTCTGCCGGCTTTTTCTAACAAATTGATGAATGTTTTGGGCCTTGGATTGAGTCAGGAAAATGCTCTGGCAGAAAAGCTTTGTGAGCAGTGAAAACTTTAGCATGATGAGTGTTGGTCCAGGCAAATAACAGCGAGATAGTACCCACCACCTTCAGTTTTGAGCTCATAAATACAGGGGCAAGCTGATCAAAAAGGTCTGCAGCTGTATTGGCTCTTTAATTGGTAAAAGTCGATAAGGGTGTTGAGGCACTTAAAAAGAAAAATTTCTCAGTATCTCTTATTTTCAATTTTATTGACATTATTGACTCATCTCTTTTATAAAACGTTGAATTTCACAGATCAGATCAGCTCATTTTGTGAGTAATTTTTAAAAACTTTAAAAAACTATTGTAACTTAGTCATGAGCAATGGTCGGGATTCCGGCAGAGGCTGTTCTTGATCAAAGTAACCGGTTGCGTAATAATTACATCGTATGACACATAAAATAAGAAAGGCTACTTCGGTAATACGAAGGTTATATAATCTTGCAGCCATTTAATATAATAATATAATAATTACAAATAATTTTTTTTTAAGTAATTCGATTGATTTAAATAATGCACTCAAACATTTTCGCTTCGAACATTTTTAGAAAAAATACCGTAAAATATTGATTTTTAACGATAATTCGTTAGTGCCACCACTACAACAGCAGGTTTTTATGCAAGGGTGCCGCACTTTTTGATTTCTTCTGAATATAAAATCCAAAAATGACAGAAAAAAATTGCAAGCGCAGGTTAACAATGCATTACTGCTGCATCTCTGGAAAGAAAAAAGATCAGCTGTTCGTGCCACTTACATGTCGGAGTAGCATTAACTAAATGCTAATGCGTCAATAGAATCAGGAAAAATTTCGAAAGTCCAGAACTGCAGTAATAAAAAACTCCTCAAACTTACATTTGAGACAGAAAAATACAAATTCCTATATTTTAGAAAAGTTTCTATTCTTTAGAAAATTAAATTTCAATATATGAAAAAATTGATCTTAGATAAATGGTGTTTTTTTTTAATTTTAATAAAGGCTAGTGTATTTTTATTCTGAAAGCTAGAAAATTTTAATTTTCAATTTAGAAATTCAGAGAACTGCAGTAATAAAAAACTCCTCAAACTTACATTTGAAACAGAAAAATAAAAATTCCTATATTTAAGAAAATAATTTCAAAAAATTATGTTTTAAGAAAAAATTTCTAAAATTCAGAAATGATTTTCCAAATTTTATAAATGTTTCCTTAAATGAACATTTTTCTATATATTTTGCGTGGAAACGGTAGGAAATACTGGCAGACTGACAGACGGAGATGGCTATATCAACTATATCGTCTAGATATGCTGATCAAGAATATATACATTTCATGGGGTCGGAAATATTTTCTTCCCTGCGTGGCAGTACATAAGGGACAAATTTATGTTTGATGACTGTCACAAGAAATATCGTTATATAATAAGATTATAAGGTCAACAAATGCGAATCTGTTCTTTCCCAAAAGCGCACGCAAAACGGTGTAAGTCACAGCTGGCTGAAGTCCTCCAGCGCAGCACATATCGCTGCTGGCTGAATGGCCGAAAAAGAAGACCGAAAAGGCCATCAAAGAGAACGGGATAAGCGGAAGGGGTACCTCGGTCTCGGTTTGCAATTTTACAAATGGATTTGTTGTAATTTCTTTTGCCACATCACCTGATGCTCACACAGTGCAAACAGAAGAGCCCAAAAAAGCGGCTGGAATAGAAGGTAAAACAACGAAAGGAGTATCAGACCAGGAGCCAGTAACCACGAACGGTGGAGAACAACTTTTAAACTTTACACATTTTCACATATGAAAATATTTTTTGCAAGTTTTTATCACTAGCCGTACTACACCCCCTGCCATTTCCCCTACACAAAAACATTTATGGGACTTGTGTTTGCCAGACATGTTTGCATTTTGTATATACGATATGTTTGAAAATTCCTTTTCTGCCATTTCGTGTACAAAGCCAGGAAAAAGGATATGGCTATGCCAGAACGGGCTGCAGGGACCTTTTCATTTTCTTTTTTGTCGAGCTAAGCTGGTGTTTTAGTGTGTGCCTCCGTCAGTGTTGCCAAATCTACTGGCTTCAAAAAAAGAACAGATGGGAGCGAAAAAAAGGATATAAGAAATAAATTTTAAGAAAATTAAAGAAAACAGGATATAAAACCTTAAGCCAAACCAGTGAAAGTTTGTATTTATTTATAGGGCAACATGCTCATGTTTTTTAATAGCCACACAG